TTATTCCCTTGTAGGGAGTTTACTATATAATGTTGTAAACCCTTAGGGATAAGTGCTAATTTTATTCAGCGCTACACACTTTGTTCTGTATACCTGTTTTATAGTGCACTCTTTCTTAACTTATTGTGTGTAGGGTGGGGAGTCCCTATTATAATGTGTTAGCAGCTCCTATATTCACTTGTTCACTAATATAGATCTAAGCGCCTTATCTACACAGGTTCACGTTACATTTCTATCTACTGCAAAATATATACACAATGTACATATTTATTTATAAAATATTTTACCAGGAAAGATACATTGAGATTTCTCTCGTTTTCAAGTGTGTCCTGGGTCCACAAAACATTGCATTGATACAATAGAGTACAGTATAAAACAAATACAAAACCAATATTAACCCCTTCAGGACCGAGGACGGTTCAGGACCATCATCAGCATTTTTGCGTTGCCGACCGCTGACGGTCCTGAACCGTCCTAACGGTCCAATGTACTTACCCGATTGCCGTCGTTCCTCCGGCGGCGATTGGTGTTGCTCCCGTTGTGGGGAGACTGCCCAGACAGTCTCCCCACGGCGCATTAGGACCCCTGGGGCCATGTGATCGCTTAACAGAGGGATCACATGGTCACAACAGGTGTCCATGTGTCTGCCTGCAGGGGGACTGTCTGTGCTGTCAGGCAGTCTCCCTGCTAGTGTAAAATCATAAAAAAAAATTAAAGTTAAAGTTAATAAAAAAAAATAAATTATATATGTGTATATATATATGATAGATAGACATATATTATATCTATATAATATATATCTATCTGTCATATATATAATGCCATACTAAGTGTATTTTTATATTAATATGTACTTATATTAATATAAAAATACACTTATAATTAAATTACACACGTATATATATATAATATATATAATAACTATATATATTGTATATAAATATTATTATAAAATACAAATAATAAGTAATTTAAATTAAATAAAAACATGTAAAAATAATAATAAAAATTTTAAAAATATATATCTATATGAAATTTTATTCTAACTGTATTTTGATAGTAATACATATATTTATTTTAAAATACACTTAGAATGAAATTGTATATATATATTTATGTATATATAAATAAATAAAAATAATACGAAATATACATATGTCCATATGCAAAATTACATAAATAATTATATAAATATACACGTAGACTTCAAATATATAAATATGCATATATATTTAAATTTTACGTGCGTATTTATGTAATATTTTTACATAATTAAGTAATTTTATTGATTGCAATTTGAGGGACCTGCCTGCCAACCTAGGTCGAAAGTCCAGAGAATTTAATTTGCTAACACTATATTTTACCCTGTAACTTTCTATGACACCCTAAAATGTGTACAGTACTTTTACTGATGCTATAATTGTTGTGATACATTTTCCTGTTTTGAAACACTAATATTTGTGTTCAGCAAAGTCTCCCGAGTATAACAGTGCCCCCCATGTACAGGTTTTATAGCGTTTTTGAAGGGTCAAATATATGGGTCAAATATTTTTACATTGAAAAAGGTCAGGTTGGTTACGTTGCCTTTGAGAGCGTATGGTAGCCCAGGAATGAGAATTACCCCCATGATGGCATACCATTTGCAAAAGAAGACAACCCAAAGTATTGCAAATGGGGTATGTCCAGTCTTTTTTAGTAGCCACTTAGTCACAAACACTGGCCAAAATTAGCGTTCAATTTAGGTTTTTACTTTTTTCACACACAAACAAATATGAATGCTAACTTTGGCCAGTGTTTTCGACTAAGTGGCTACTAAAAAAGACTGGACATACCCCATATTGAATACCCTGGATTGTCTACTTTAAAACAAAATGTACATGTGGGGTGTTATTCAGAGATTTATGACCAATAATAGTATTACAATGTCACTATTGATAAATTTAATAGTATAAAAATATATGTTTTGAAACTGCAATATCCTACTTGTACCTATAGCCCTATAACTTGCAAAAAAAACATGTAAACACTGGGTATTTTTAAACTCAGGAAAAATTTTTGAATCTATTTAGTAGTTTTTTTCATACGTTTTTGTATATGAGTAAAATATTTTTCAAGTAAAAGTCAAAAAACATGTATTTTTTTTTTAATTTTTCATAATTTTTTTAAAAAAAATTCAAAATTAAATTACATGAGATTATATAAATAATGGTATGTAAAGAAAGCCCTTTTTGTCCTGAAAAAAAAAATATATAATTTGTATGGGAACAGTAAATGAGAGAGTGGAAAATTACCGCTAAACACAAACACCAGAAAAGTGTAAAAAGAGGCCTGGTCGCAAATGTACAACATCGCAAACCAGTCCAGTCCTTAAGGGGTTAATACACAATATATACAAAATTTTACATAGAACAGGTAGGAAATATATAATTAACCATGACATGTGCATTCTGTTTTGAAGTAGGTAGAGAGGGATCTCTACATTATGTATATATTTTAAAATACACTGATAGGTGCATTTTCCTGCCATTTGGTTCACAGATCACGTTAGAAAAAGTTGAGGCTATTTGTATATAATATATGTATTAAATACATAATATATAAATCTATAAATATAGATTTGTTTTTACTGTTCTTCCGTTTTTCCCCTCTATAGCTCACGTGTCATTTGACCTGTGAATAAAATCAATGTTTAGTGAATTTTTTTTATTATTATTATTTTATTATTTAGATAGCGCCATCAAATTCCACAGCGCTGTACTATTATCTTTTTTTTTTTTTTTTTTGAATAGCAAATCAAAACAAAATTTTTTTGACTCAGAGTTTGGGAAACTCCCGGCCAACGCAAATTAGGGCGAATCGCAGTTTGGACCAAAACAAATCTCTAAGTCTAGTAACTACATCTAAATGTACAATAACTTTATTAGATGGAAATACTATTATTAATGTTTTGGTACTGGTGTTTTAAAAGGAAACTATATTAACCAAAACAAATTCAGCGTAATGAAGTAGGTGTAGTGTATAAACCATGTCCCTGCAGTCTCACTGTTCAAGTCATGGCCATTTAGGAGTTAAATCACTTTTGTTTCTGTTTGTGCAGCCATAGCCACACCTCCCCTTGCTATGACTCACAAAAGCCTACATGAAAAAAGGTTTCATTTTCAATCAGATGTTAACTTACTTTAAAAGTTATTGTCACCTGCTTTGTAAATTTTATTTTAAAGGACCACTATAGTGCCAGGAAAACATACTTGTTTTCCTGGCACTATAGTGCCCTGAGGGTGCCCCCACCCTCAGGGTCCTCCTCCTGCCCGGCTCTGGGGAGAGGAAAGGGTTAAAACTTACCTTTTTTCCAGCGCCGGGCGGGGAGCTCTCCTCCTCCTCTCCTCCCCTTCGGCTGAATGTGCGCGCATTCAGCCGGTCTGATAGGAAAGCATTTACAATGCTTTCCTATGGACGCTTGCGTGTTCTCACTGTGATTTTCACAGTGAGAAGCACGCAAACGCCTCTAGCGGCTGTCAATGAGACAGCCACTAGAGGAGTTGGAGGCTGAATTAACCCTATTATAAACATAGCAGTTTCTCTGATACTGCTATGTTTATTTAAAAAAGGTTAATCCTTTCTGTACCTGGCACCTAGACCACTTCATTAAGCTGTGAGTGCCTAGAGTGGTCCTTTAATCAAACACAGAAGGCTCCTGCCAGGTCTAGCAGGCTATTTACAGTGTAGGAGACGTCTACATAAACAGAATGTACAATAAATTAAGTTTAAACATTGGATCTCACATTACAGGAAGTGTTTAGCAAGACTGTGTATGTCACATGCAGGAAGGTGTGACTAGCCTGCATAAACAAAGTGATTTATCTGCTAAATGGCAGAGAAATGAGCAGTAACACTGCAGAGACATTAGCTATATACCAAAACTGCTTCATTAAGCTAAAGTTGTTTTAGTGATTATAGTGTCCATTTAAGTAAAATAAAAAGTCTAAGAAATCTGCTTTAAAAAAATGTAATTTTAATATCAAAATGTAATATATATAAATTCTGATCTTTCCTATTTTAACTTACCTTGCTTCAGAAAGCTTAGATTTAATAGGACACTGGGGACCTCCATTAGTTCAGTCTTATTTGTTAACCTTTTGGTCGCTGACCACTTTCTGATAACATTGCCATGGAACCAATCAAAATACAGTTTTGAGTTACATTTTTAATTTGTTTTCTCATTCAAGCTGCATAGAAACAATCTTTGAGGGGAAGTACACATTCTTACCTGCCTTGTATCAAGCAAGGTACCCTTCAAGATTTATTTTGCCAGACTAGTGCTATCTGCTTGGTGAGATCCAGACAGAGTGAGGAACCTTCTTGACTATTTTATAGTAGGTAGCAGTAAAATGAATGTCTTCTAGCATGGAATCCAATGTCAAGGCAGGTATTCATTGATTCAGGCCAGTGGTTACAAAGCCAGGTTCTGCTTTGTCATATTTGAGGGCAAGAGCTTAAGTATAGTAAGTAGGGTTAGAGGAGGAGTGAGTAATGCTTTGGGATTCTAGAATCAACTTCAATAATGTTTTTCTTGTTGTTGTTGTAGACTTGATGTAATGGTGTAGCTGCAGGGTATGCTTAGCAGCAGGGGCGTAATTAGAAAACTCAGGGCCCTCGTGCAAGAATATGTTAAGCCCCCCCACCCCTCACTGCTATATAGCAGAGGTAGACAATAGGTAGATCCTCAGCTGCTGTACATATCCCATGATGCTTTGACAGCTGTGGATCTACTATGTACCCATCCTTGCTGGGCCCTATTAGTATACAGTATCTGTGAATGTAGGCGTGTTTTTGTATAGAGTATATTTGTGTGAATGTTTGTTTATTTGTGTATAAAGCTTATGTGTGAATGCATGGGATCTGTTTCTATGTGGTGTTGGTATTTAAATCAGGGGTGTGTAGTGTTGGTATTTGAATGCAAGTATTTTTATGTAGTGTTAGTGTACAATTATAGCTGTGTGCTTGCCTGTAATGTCACGTGAATGTGACATCCACATGTACCGATACATACAGTGCCACACACAAACACTGACACACATGCACAGATACATAAACTGACACATACAAACATTGACACACATGTAGAGACATACACTGACACACATGCAGAAACATGGCCCAATGTGTCTCAGTGTGACTGTATGGATGTCCCTGACATATGGCTGTCTGTCACACACTGCTCTGGGCACAGCTCTGGATACGCTCACACACGGTCTGCTGTCACCAGGCACACTGGGGACAGACAGGGGATCACATCCACCAGGGCAGGGAGCTCTATGACCCTGCTCACAGCCTGCTAGCAGGCACCTAGAGCCCAGCACCCAGGAGAAGGACCCGGATCTCTCTCACACATGAGGTGAATCCGCAGGGGTCGATAGGACGGCTGGGCCCCCTCAAGTACCGGACCCTGTTGCACCTGTGACCCCTGCAGCTACTGTAGTTCTGCCACTGCTTACCAGATTACATTGCCTTGACTATACCTCCCAAGTGTCCCTGTTTAGGAAGGACAGGCCCAAATTCCTCTGTCCCTCTTTTCTAGGAGCTTTATATTGTTGTTGTGTGAGTCTATAAATGAGCTCCACATCAATAATACAGTAATGTGTCTTTAAACTACAATACATATGTTTAGAAATCAATATGTACAAGTAAGATTTTTAGCTGCATATATTGTTGTTAGTAAGTAAAATAACATTTCTCAGAACAGCTCGCCCTGGCCACACGCCTAAAATTCAAATTAAATAATTTTTATTTTATATATATTTATTTGCCCTCCTACCCCCCACAGAGACACAATAACCCCACCATACACACACACACTGCCCCCCATACACACACTGCCTCCTCATATACACACACAACCCCCCATGTACACACACTGCTCCACCATACACAAACACTTCCCCCCCATATACACACACTGCTCCCCCATACAAACACACTACCCGCCAATATACACACACTGGCTCCCATACACACACATTATCCCCACATACACACTGCCCCTCCGTATACACACACTGCCCCTCTGTACACACAAACTGTACCCCTCACACACACTGCCCCCCACACACACACACTGTACCCCTTACAGACACACTGTCCCACACACAAACACTGAACCCCTCACACAACCTGCCCCCCCCACGCACACTGTACACCTCATACAACCTGCCCCCCTACACACACACACTGTAAACCTCATGTGCACACACTACATCCTTCACAAACACAATGCACCCCTGTACACTCACTGCATGCCTAACACGCACACACTGCACCCCTCACACACACACACATATTGCACCCCTCAGACACACACACACACTGCACCCCTCACACACACACACGCACACACACACACTGCACCCCTTACACACACACACATATTGCACCCCTCAGACAGACACACACACACACACACACACTGCACCCCTCACACACACACATTGCACCCCTCAGACACACTACCTCCCCTACCCCCTCCTTCAGATCCCAGGTAAGTTGTCAAACTGTTCTTAAACAGTTTGACTGCTTACTGTGGGAGCGCACTGCTGGCACCATAACCACTACAAAGTGCTTTAGTGATTATTGTGCCTGGATTGTTTCTTAAAATAATCTACCAGTCCACATTTCACAAGGTGTGGGGTCCATGGGAGCAATACGACACATAGGCGCGGGGCGGCATCTGTGCGGCACAATTCAGCAGTGACGGCAGGGGCTCACCCGGCGGTCGCTGGCATACCATAACCCGGACGGGTGGAAGCGGCTCCACAGCAGGACGGGGGATTGGCTAAAGCCGGAACGAGGGCCGCGGCCCACTGGGGTGGGCGGCACGGGGTTCTCGGTTCACAGGAGATCACCAACTCTTTGTACTTCAACATACTGAACATTATACTTATCTATATCTACCTATTCTTTATCAATCTGCTTTTATCTTTGGTGAATACCTCAGACAATGTAAGCAAACATGAGGAGAGGAAAACTTCAACACTGTCTAACCCTGCCGGATTGCGTACATGACAGATTGACAGATCACGGTGGGGGGCAGGGACAGGGCAGACGGAGAGGGCACAATGCCTGAACTACCTGGGCAAGCTTGGGATACCACACACATACGCTTAGGCCAAGGCAACGCAATACACTCATCGCAGCCATCCTGAGAGTTTAGGGCACAGCACACTCCTCAATAAGTCGACAGTTGTACATAGTTATTTTCTTTCCTTTCTTTCGAATGCTTTTCTTTTTCTTTCTCTTTATCTGATTACCAACGTAAATGAAATCTCTGGCAGAGACGCACCAAAGGTGCACAGTTTGTACTAACTTTGTTACCCTGTATTTTATACTACGAATCAACAACACTTGTGCGGTCATGTATTCACATCTGTTTGCACTATTGTAGCCACGCTTGAATGGCAGAGCGAAAAATAAAGAATTAAAAAAAAATAATAATAATAATCTACCAGTGCCCCTCCCAAGATTAGGTTCTGGATCTGCGCTTAAACAACAAGCATTTCTGCCGAACAGGGGCCCAGTACATGCCGCTGCACTGTGCATATATACAACCTAGAACATTTTTTGACTTGGGGCACCTTGAAAAAATATTGAAATATTAAGGGTGCCTTGCACCTAAAAAGTTTGGGAACCACTGTTCTAAAGCATTTGGAAAGTTCAGTCCTCCCATGTATTTTGAAAACTAATTAGGCTAGTTTGCATGGTCGGGTCCTTCAAAACAGTTGGAAGTTGAGGGTACATCGGTCAGGCATGTATTTTACTTTGATAGAGTCTGTAATCTATGTCACAGTCAAACTATGTCCGTCCCTGACCAGTTCTGTGTTAGTTACACAACGGGCTATTTGGTTTAAAAAGCACTGTGGAAAAACAACGTGAGGAGTGACGTGAAGCCCTTCTTGCAGAACTGTGCAAAGTTTGTCTACGGCACAGACCGAGCTGCCCGCAGTTGTGGCAAAAAAACACACTGAGTAAAGTGCGAGAGATTGAAATATTTAATTTTGTTTCTTGTTAAACCTTAACTTTCTTCCCAAGAATGGAAAAGTAAATGAAACGAAAAAAGCCAAATGCAATGTTTGAGTGTGCGAACATACAGTGTTGCTGGAGGTGCACAGCCTGCCCTGTTTAAGGGTCGGATCCATCCATAGAGGGAGAGGTGGGAAATCACCAGAGAGTTGATTGCATAGAAGACACACTGCATTCAGCTTCTGGTAAAAAAAAAAGAATCAATATATATTTTTTTAATTTAGAGTTGCCAGCTACAGATTGGTGACTTTAACATATTCATTAATGCACCAGGCCTGCATACTGTATAGTTGTACAACCATGTTTAAAACAGCCATCTGTCACTTTTATTTATTTTTTGCTAGGGTTCCCCGTGGTGACATGTCTGCTTGCCTGGTGGCCCCTGGAGATGGAGGTTCAGCTGCAGTAGATACCATGTATAAACAAAATTGTGGGATGTACTAATTAAACTCTGAATGTAGTGAAAATGGAATTGCAAAATTTAGAGTAAAAATACATTGCTCAGACTATAGATGAGTTGGAGCTATCTTGGCCTAAATATTACCATTTTCCCCCCGATACACTATAACATGGATGGTGCAAGGATTTCTAGTTAAACAGGCCGACCCTCAGAATGCATTTTTGCCAGTGTAGGCCTTTGTGCCTTTTACGTTCCTTTTTGCCCCTCTTATCCATCATAGACTGTGGTAGAGGATAATCTTTATCCTCTACCTCACGGGTAGGCAACCTTCGGCACTCCAGATGTTGTGGAGTACATCTTCTATAATGCTCTTACAGTTGTAATGTGATGGGATTCCAGCATGGTTAAAATTTAGTAGGCCAAAATCTCCATGTGGCATATGTGTATGTTGTGTCAGTTGGTTAGCTACATGTAGCTAGGATACTGTCATCAGTGTACTGAGCATGTGCAGGAATGCAGGAACTGAAATTGCACTTATTTCCTTTGTCTTGGATGAGCCATGTGGTTTGACTAGATGTACAAGTCTATATTCTGCTCATTGATTGGTTAAAGGTATATGTGGGTGTAGCTATTAATGGGAGGAGTTATAGTGCTATATAAGGAATGTACACTATGTGTTGGTCTCTCAGAATGTTGGAACAGGAGTTCATCTGAGACCCGATCGGTAATGTGAATAAAGGCCTGTTACTTCCTGAAGACCTGTGTCCAATATTTCTGTGTTTGGCTTCTGCATGCTTACACTGCAACATTTCTGGTGCAATTGGCCCGGGAACCTCATTGCATGGAAGCTAGCGCAGAGATTTGAGACGGTAAACTTTTACAAAACCTTCTACGCTACAATCCTGGACTTCTACTGCGTGGACCTCCTTTCGTCTCGGCGCCACTGGCCTTTTGTCCAGGAGATCATCGGCTTCTGCGCAGTGAGTCCCGGATTGTTCCGTCTATGAGTGAACCCAGGTCCAGGAATTAACAGGTAAGATTGATACCGTTAGAGCGGTAGACCCACAAGGGGTTTTATATTTGGAACCGGTTATTGGTATTGGCCCCTTCAATAGAAGGAAGAAGTGAAAGCGCAACACTTATCTGGAAATTAGACGCTCTGTAGTCAGCCGTCTAATATAGGTGGTTTGGGTCAGACTGAGTTCTGGTGTAAATAGCTCATGTCGGACACCGGTGTCCTGTCTTGACTAGCGTATCTAGGGTGTAAATTTTGTTCGCTAGGTCGGGGGGACCGGGAGACTAGCATACTCTGTTGTATATTATAGTTTGCTAGATTTCACCCTATCTTAACTAAGTGTGCTCTGTTGTAAATCCAGCCACTAGCTTATTGATAGTTTAATAGACTAGCTGGGTACTGTGTAAATTCTGCCCTCTAGTTCGCTATACGTGGTGTCTGGGCAGCGAAGAACTTATCGAATCTCTGGTGTATAAATAGATCGAAAGCTCTCGAGGTGCTGGCCAGTTAGAATAGTTGGGATTATTGTAAATGTTGTTAAATATATTGTAGTTGGTGAATTGGTTAACTTGTATGTCCTACTAGAAAGTTAGAGCTCTGCTGTCTAGTGGGAGTGTAAATTGTGTGTATAACTGTAAAATAGCGCACGGTACCATAACTACTGACATGTACCATAACCACTGACATTGTGTAAAAATTACTAACAATTGCTGTTTTATGTTATATGTATAATACCATAACTGTTACTAACTGATCTGTGACTTTAAAACTGTATTATAACCACTTACTAACTGTACCATAACCACTGACTGTAAAGATGAGGTTACTAGAATGTGATATAGTTGGTTAGTCAAAAGTTGATTTATAGT